CCCCAAAACCCCAAAACCCCAAAACCCCAAAACCCCAAAACCCCTAAGGATTATAAATAATTGCAAATAATCTTGTTACCAACATGCTTGAGCTGAACCTGAGCGAATTCCAACTGAAAACAGATGATAATGGAGAAAGGACTTCTAGGCACATCCTGGAATCATCATTATCCCAGATAGATGAGATCTCTGGAGAGACTCTCTCCAATGAAGTCAGCTCTCCACAAATGAGTGAGATAAACAGTATGTTTCATAAATTCTTACTTATTTAAATTTCATAGCTTCTCAGAACAAGAAAACGCCAATACTGAAGTCATCTCTCAGTTTCTCAGTAACCAAGGAAGGAATAGTTAAGTCTCACATAGAATTGAAGAAGTTCCGTCCAGAATGGTCAAAAAGTTCTGCAAACTTAGAAAACCCACAGAGCTGTCAGAAATATTCCTTGGGCTCAGACCTGGGTTCAGTGACTGAAACCCAGAGTTTGCTTGGGTGCAAAATACATGAGCTAGAATCTCAAGACTTTTATCTGAAATAAAGGTAAATAAATACGAAGAAGCTAATAAATTTGATAAAGCTCACGAATGATATTCACAGGCCCTGAAAATAAACCCCAGATGTTCAAAAGCCAACTTCTCCCTAGCTGGCTTAGAAAGTAAGAGAGGATGTTTAGAACAAGCCATAGAGTACTACAACAGAGCTTTGGAAGACGACCATATCCCTAATCGAGATAGATCAACTAAAAGTTCCTTCGATTCCTCTTCAGACCCAAAGGAGATGCACTTCATGAACATTAAAATCCAACCTGAGGAAGGAATCCGGAATTATAAATGATCAGGAACTAAAAGCACGAGGAATCTGAAATAAAACTTCGAGTTCGATCACTCAGAGTCCAGTCCAGATTGTTTCCTCTTTGAAGTTACCCAAAAATTGTAGATCTGTCAAATGCTTAACTACACGGAAAGATAATAAATCTAGAAACAAAAGAGTCCATTTTGAGCCAACCGAAAATATCCGAGCTAAACGGACAAGCAAGAGGAAAGTTCAAAGGCGTGCTAATTTTGTTGAACTCAGTCATAAAAATATCTCTATGGATACTCCAGGAAAGTGTAAAAAGTTGAAGTCAATTGTGAAATGAAAGAAAATTGATCTTAATGACTTATTATCCCCGAAAAATAAGAAGAAAATTAAACTAAATGGCCAATCCTCTCCTGTTTTTAAAGCTAAATCCACTATACAGACTCCAAAACCGTTCTGCTACAACAAAGACATGGAAGAATCAAAGGAAGAAGTTGCTTCTTTGCTTCCAAAAACCTCGCCGAAAAAGAAGTCCAAGTGGCGAAAGTACTTATTTGAAAAATCTATTGGAAAGAAGCCTTCTTCACCACCAAAACTGATCCAAAAGACTCGAAGTAAGAGTATAAAAAGGTTTGAACTGAAACTTCAATCCCAGCCTTCTATCTACCAACGGAGGTCATCTTCATTCTGCCGTCAGAATACCACCTCAGAGACATTCCCACTTCAGGAGTCTAAGAAGCCTCTATCAGCTTGAAAGACCAAGAATATTTATAACAAAAAGTCTACTCAATGCATCCTTGGCTTAAAATCTCCTCACAAATCCATTTTTTAACCAAAAATCTCCGCTTGAGTCCCTTCAGACAATCCTTCATAACACTAATAGTCCCTCGCAATAATCCCATATTTATTAAATACCTCATAAAATTTTCCTCACCAAGAACCCATCACTAGTAAAAATATTCCTGAGTTTCAATCCCTTAATAAATTTTTGGGGTTTTGGGGTTTTGGGGTTTTGGGGTTTTGGGGGGATTTGAGGCTGGGAGAGGGTAAATG